AAACAGATAATTATTTAGAAGTTATAATAAACCTCTCAAATCAGCCAGAACGAGAAAGCAACGGAAAAGACTGGACTTATAAATCAAATTTAGTGGGGAAGAAACTGTTGTATCTCTATGTTTCAAATGTTATGCATTTAATAATTTAATCATATGTTATTTTCAAAATGTGATTCAATTGATATAAATAAACTAGTGACAAAATAAGGCTCATTTTTCATCCTACATTTATTTAACTACTAGCTGTTGTACCCGTGTTTTGCAACGGGAAGAGGGCACAAAATAGAAACAGTGTAATCTTTACATCTGTTGCAAATAATAGTTACACCTCCGCCAACGGTTTTAGAAACAAAATTAAAATTGTATGGCCTTAATAGAAACGTTAAAGTTACAACTTTTAAATCTGGTAATTAGTGGATACCATCATTTTGGTTTTGATTGATTTTAAATCTTGTGTAGAGAAATCTTGTGTATGTGAGAAAAACTGACCAAATCTTCGAATAAAACTTTGACATACATGATTTACCTTCATCTTCCTTAATTACATATCTTTTAATTTATTATTTGCATTTTAAATTTCAATTTTGAAGTTGCAAAAATAATAATCACCAAATTTAAATGAACATTTTTTTAAATTTCACTCTTCGTCATATTAAATCACAAATCCTTCCGTCTTCAGTTTCTCCACTCACAATAAATTATTAACAAAACTGAGTCAGCTGTTATAAACTTTAGAAATGTTGCTGTGCCTTATCAATACAGTCTTTTGAAATATTAAAGAAACGCAAACAAATAATTTAGCATTACTGACAGCAGACAAAACTAATATGATTATCAAAGCATCAAGGACTAAAAAATTTAATAGCAAATACAGTATATGTTTCATTTCATCTCTGATTCCACTCTACAAAAATATCAACAAAGAACCCGACTTAATATTATACAAACCAGTTCTTTTAATCAGTTTCATCGTCCATTGCCTTTACATGTTCACACTCACCATTAAGTAAACATAGTAACAGAGATATTTAATTGATTTTAGAAACAAAAGAACTCTGTGTACTGCTTAGTTTTATGATATTTTACTTGGTTTAATTTAATCAGTGGTGTGGCAAAACACAAATAATAAATGTATCAAATAAAAGTAAATGTGAACTGAAAGCTATGTTAAGATAAAATAACAGTATTTTATATTACTATTTGATAATTAAATATAGTTACACATATACAACAGATTTTTGAAAACAAAAATCAACGACGTACAATTTAGTTATTGATGATATTCTTTAGTCGAATTTAAGCATAGGTTTAGCAAAACATAATAACTTAATTTACCTAAATATACACATAAAAAACAATGTGATGTACAAGTTATGTTAAGTTAATATAACACATGTTAAGCAGTTAGAATTTATTTAAAGTAGCCTCCAAATTCATACAAAACATATTTTCATACTGTTTCCATGAAAACATATCAATAACATTATTTTCATAACTTAGACGCTTTAAGAAATCCAAAGCAGAGCCGGAGTTGATACAGCAACGGTTATAGAATCTTTTCTCCTATAATCGTTGACATAGTTTTAGAATACATAATCCATGATAAAAGGTTAGATTAAAATAAACATACCTCATAGTTATGGAATATATTATATTTTATTGCTTTGTATCAGCTGTCTGAAATTGTGAAATATGCAGTTTAGCAGTTCATTGTTTACATTTAAATGTCAAAGCAAATGTAAACAAACATTGTTAGTGTTCTCATCGCAGCCATGGAGACCAATCAATATTTACTTTTAAAATGTTCACCTCAGAACTTTTAAAGCCAAAGGGGTTTAAAGCCAAAGTTAAAGCCAGACCGGTGAAAGCCAAAGACGCCTACGATCAGTATCGAAATGTGAATAGTCCTATAATGGTCCTTGGTATGGTAGCTATATTTTTGTAAAATTTAAGCCCAGTTGGTTCAGTAGTTTTTGCACCTATTAGTAACACACATACAGACAGACACCATCAAATTTTTATATAATAGTATAGATTTATTTCAAATATAAACTTACAAACAATCCCTAAATAAAATACAAAGATAAACAGTATTTGTTAATTATTATTTCTTTTATTGCTGACAATATTCCCGTGGCGGAGCACGGGCGGTTAACTAGTTAGGTTAATGCAGGTCCCGGGCTTAGGTCTTACCATGAGACCTACGGTAATAGCTCTATTTCCAATAGGGAAATTCGCTAAAAGTAGTTATGGGGTCTTATTTCTTTATTATAATGACATTTTAAGGTGTGGTTGAGATCACATAAATTATAAATAGCATGCAAATTTCGATGGGTAAAACCAATTTAATATTGTGCAAGTAGCAAATATTCCCTGTCAGCTAGTGGAACTTGTATAGCTTTTGTGTACCAAAACCTGACATTGATATAATTTTAAATCCAAAACCCCTAACACCCCAATTTTATCATAAAATTGTCAACAAAGGTATAATTGATAAAAATAATGAGCCTAATCATTAATACTATTTAAGAAATTTAAGCTGGGTTTTCCTAGACGCGGAGTCGGCCAGCGGAGAGAGGAACGCGGAGAGCGGAATTGAAATTAACATGGCATTCCGCTCCGCTGCTAGGAAAACAGTAACATTAAATTACCTAAGACAAGCTGAGTCCGCTCTCCGCGTTCCTCTCTCCGCTGGCCGACTCCGCGCCTAGGAAAACCCAGCTTTAGCGAAATTACAAAAAACCAAACTTACCTTCTTAACAATTTCATTATCGACTAAATGTGAGTGTACTGTACAGACAGGGTCGCTTTCAAACCACCACCATTCAGCGAGTATGGGCTAAAATTTCACTGATTTGTTTGTAAACAAATCAAGAAACATCAAGAAACATTGCATCTAACAATGCAATCATGTGTACATATTTTTAAGAGACCACATTATAAAGAAACTCAAACTGTCAGCTTCTGGAGCACTGTCAGCGACTGATGCATTTACCTTAGTAAAGGCTAGCATAGTGCAGAGTTTGGGAACAGTTGTATTTTGTATTATCTATAATATTAAAACGAAACAGGGTTTTTTTATTTCACGATTCTGAATCAACCACTTGACCGATTTTCATGATTTTTGTGTTGAAAGAAAGATAATTTTGAGAACTAGGGAATGTCGAAGCCATAATTTTAATTTAGGGTTTCAGTTTTTTAGAAATTAAGTTTCAATTTTTAAAAAGTCTAGCAGCCGACACTAGCAATTCAAAGTATTTTCAGTGCTGGTTAAACTAACAGCTGGTTATAAACTGTCATTGAAATGTTTATGTTACAAGTTGTTTGTATACAAAAATATTGTTCTTCGGTGTTGGCCTGCATACTATTTCACTTAAAAAATTTTTTTTCTACCGTGAAGGATCTGCTTTATCGGGAAATGTGTTATTTTGATCTATACATCTCAAACAGTTTAATCAAGTTTTGTTGTAAATGCAAAAACTGTGTAAGTAAGTTATTTAGTTTATACCATGGAAATAAAGTAAAAGACCAGAAGTAAAAGGCTTGGACGGGCAGGCTATGCGTGGTGGATAGGAGATAAATCAACTTTTTTAAAAGTATATTCCATATTACCGCAAGATAAAATACCACTTGGAAGACCAAGAATTAAGTGGAAAGACCAAGTTATGACATACATCCTCAGTCGGGGATCTAAATTAGAGAGACAGGGGATGGAAGAGAATGGGTGGCCAATCCTCGTAAGGTGTCAGTCTGTGGTCACGGAGGTAAAGGTGCGGTAAGTACATATATAAGTGGTATATGCAATTGAAGCAACTCTACTCAATACCAGTGTGTGTCGGTCTCCAATCTCACTTCATGTGTTTTCAAATCGACGCAACTGCTATTTTATGGTAAAATTATCAAATTCAAAATGCATATCGCTATATTTTAGGTCTATAATCGGATGGAAGAAATGAGTAGTCACGTGACATTTGTTAATAAGTTCAACAACTAAAAAATAACAATTAATTGTTAATTAGGTTGTTTTGGGGTAGTTGGCCCCCATTAAAACTGCCAGAATTTGTCACTGTGCGTGTAAACTAGATGTTCTTCTGAACTATTCCGTTTTACTTGAATACTCGATTCCCATACGTAGGACGGGCCAACAGCTCGTATCTATAAATTTTATCTATTTATTGATGTATTGAAAACCATGAAATATGATTGTTCCGTTCAACTGGCTTTCACTGCTTCAAAGCAATCATAGTATATAGCGAGCATAGTGTGTAATTAGCATGATTGACAATGGTAAAGCCTGTGTCACACTTGGCTACTTACTAGCAGCTACCTAGTAGCAGCTACTGAAATAGCAGCTTTTTTTCCTGTCACACTTATTTTGGTAGCGTCTATTCACTAGCCGCTACTACTAGTTTAGCTCAAGAGAGGTTATGTCCCAAAGACACGGATATTTTTTATACAGGTTCAAAAAATTAATAACATCTCCCCCACCCCACTTCGGATCACTCATGATTACTTCAGAAATTATTCAAAATGAACGAGAATAAACAAATGAGGCAGACAGCACGTGGTGCAAGTAGCCGCTAGTCTGCTATTGAAGCTGTCACACTGGGCGACAGTCGCTACTTGATAGCTGCTAGTTGGTCACGTGACTCACTAGCGCAGTTTAGTAGCACGGAAAGTTGGACATGTTCAACTTTCCATGCTAGTAAAATTTCACTAGCGCGCTACTCTTAGTAGCTGCTACTGCCTATGTCACATTCGCTACTTAGTAGCTGCTATTTCGCTAGCTGCTAGTAAAGTAGCGTAGTGTGACACAGGCTTTTAGTCATGTAGACTGTCGCAACTACTTCCTCTCTTTTTCTTTTTGCATGCCTGGAATCACTTCCGCTCTCGTCATCTTCTTTTCTTCAGCTCCAGCTGTCCTTTTGTACGATCGATTGTCGATTCTCCAATCTGACTGAATCTCCACTACTCCACTCCATTCCCATTTATTCTCCATTCTCCTTCTCCTTCTCCATTTCACACCCGGCAGGGCTAGGGCAGTCCGGACGGTACCATTTTCATTTCACCATTCTAAATCTCAAGTCATTACTAAAATTATTTCTATACCAACTCACTTGTTCTTAATATTAATTTTTTTAACTTTGGGCTCAATAATCTCGAATAATGTGCAGTGTAAAAAGAGAAAACAACTGTATTACTGTATCTTGTAATACAGTTATCTTGGATATCGAAGGAACTACAACGTCTATTTCTTTTGTTAAGGTAGGTTTCCCTACGTAGGCCTATGTACTAATAACTATTGACTTACTATTAGTCTAATGGCCACACCTGTGTTAAGTGGTAAACAATATAACTTAGGTACTGGTACAGTAGGCCTAACGAGTGAATCAATAATTTATTTATTTGACCATTCAACAAATTACATGCTAGGCTATCAGTCTCGTCATAATAAATTACAAAATGCTGTAAAAATACATATAAGCCTATTAATTGAAGTTAAGTAGCCTGCAACAAACAAATTAACTAGGCCTAAGTTAGTGCCTAAACTTTAAGTCAGAGGGTGCATTAGGCTCAAGTAACTTAGGCCTAGCCTAGAACTGCAGAATTAGGACCAAGCTATAAATAATTGTTAGTCTACCTACCACTTTCAGTCTAATCAATTATAGGCTACATATAATTTGATAGTACTTAATAGGCTAGTTAAGCATTCAGGGTGTCCACATTCTGGAAAGTCAGGGATAGTCATGGAAAGTCATGGAAAAAAGTTTTGGTCATTGAAAGTCAGGGAAATAGGCAAGAAGTCATGGAAAGTCATGGAAATTTCCAATTATGGATGGATTTGAGGGGACCATTCAATGCTCTAGCCAGCCGTAACCCGGACTGTTGTAGCATTTTTCAGGATTTTTCACAAATGTTCGACAATTCAATTTATTACAGTTGTACTAGGTGGCGTTCGCAGAGGCATCCACAAAATTGAGCGGAGTCATCAAGGGTTCATATTATATTGTTTTTGTCTTACTGCAGTAAAAACAGTATTTTTTCATGCATGCGCTGCGAGTCTAAAGTAGCATTTTTAATATTTAGGGAGTAAAAATCGTTTTTAGCCTCTATGGAGTAAAAATCAGCTGTTGTCAACTCAGTTGTAAATTTCGATTGTAAACGATTGCATGTATCGAAAATATGTATCGATTTGTGCTTCGTAATCATTTTAACATATTACAGTCTACAGTCTCTTCCCGTAGCATTTTAGCATTGCAGATACATTAATCCATTCCCAAACTCAACACTGCTCACCTTTACTACTTCCTTCACCACACCCTACGTCGTGGACCTGTTTCCCTCTCTTCCCATAGCATTTTAGGATTGCAGATACATTAATTTAATTGCCAAAGACAGTTCCCACACTCTGCGCTGTTAGCCTTACTACTTCCTTCACCATTTACTACGTCATTGGCCTGTTTCCTTCCTTTCTCATAGCATTTAAGTATTACAAATTCATTTATCCATCTGCTCAAACGGTTCCCCCACTCTGCACTGCCAGCTTTTACTACTTCCTTCACCACTTACGTCGTGGACCTGTATTCATCGCTTTCCATAGCATTTTAGTATTTTAGATACGTTAATCTAATTGCAACAAACATCCCCACTGTCCGTACTGCTAGACTTTACTACTTCTTTCACAATTTCCTATGTCTTGGGCATGCTTCCATCCCTTCTCATAGCATTTCAGCATTGCAGATACATTAAAACTGCTACAAACGGTTTCCAGTTCCCACACTCCACACTGCTCGCCTTACTACTTCTTTCACCTGTTTCTACGTCGCGGATCTGTTTCCCTCTCTTCCCATAGCATTTTAAGATTGCAGATACCTGAATCTAATCGTCATAAACAGATCCCACACTCCGAACAGCTCACCTTTATTACTTCCTTCGCCACTTCCCACATCGCGGACCTGTTTCCCTCCCTTTCCGTAGCATTTTAGGAACGTTGTGACCTTAATCTAATCGTCATAAACAGTTTCCATACTCCAGACTGTTCACCTTTACTACTTCCTTAACCTCTTCATACGTCACGAACCTTAAGCTAGTGTCGTCATTTGATTATAGTACCTAGGGACCGAGCTTTGCTCGGGGAAAATCATTAGTTCACTCTGAAAGCACCGTAGTATTGGAGATGCATAAATCCACACATCTACATCCTACACAATTTCCTACGTCATGGATCTGTTTCCCTCCATTCCATTGCATTTAAAGATTGCAGATACCTTAATCTAATCGTCATAAACAGTTCCCACACTCCGGACTACTCGCCTTGACTACTTCCTTCACCACTTCCTACGTCGCGGACCTGTTTACCTCCCTTCCCATAGCATTAGGATTGCAAATACCTTAATCTAATCGTCATAAACAGTCCCCACACTCCGGACAGCTCACCTTGGCTACTTCCTTCATCACTTCCTACGTCGCGGACCTGTTTTCATCCCTTCCCGTAGCATTTTAGGTTTGCTGATACCTTAATCTAATTGTCATAAACATTTACAACACTCCGCACAACTCGCCTAGACTACTTCCTTCACCACTTCCTACGTCGCGGACCTATTTTCCTCCCTTTCCATAGCATTTTAGGATTGCAAATACCTTAATCTAATCATCATAAACAGTTCCCACGCTCCAGACAGCTCGCCTTGACTACTTCCTTCGCCACTTCTTACGTCACGGACCTGTTTCCCTCCCTTCCCATAGCATTTTAGGATTGCCCATACCCTTATCTAATCGCCATAAACAGTTCCCTCACTCCTGACAGCTCGCCTTGACTACTTCCTTCACCACTTCCTACGTCGCGGATCTGTTTCCCTCCATTCCATTGCATTTAAAGATTGCAGATACCTTAATCTAATCGTCATAAACAGTTCCCACACTCCGGACTACTCGCCTTGACTACTTCCTTCACCACTTCCTACGTCGCGGACCTGTTTTCCTCCCTTCCCATAGCATTTTAGGATTGCAGATACCCTAATCTTATCGTCATAAACAGTTCCCACACTCCGGACAGCTCACCTTGACTACTTCCTTCATCACTTCCTACGTTGCGGACCTGTTTTCCTCCCTTCCCGTAGCATTTTAGGTTTGCTGATACCATAATCTAATTGGCATAAACATTTCAAACACTCCGGACAACTCGCCTAGACTACTTCCTTCACCACTTCCTACGTTGCAGACCTATTTTCCTCCCTTTCCATAGCATTTTAGAATTGCAAATACCTTAATCTAATCGTCATAAACAGTCCCCACACTCCGGACAGCTCACCTTGACTACTCCCTTCATCACTTTCTACGTCGCGGACCTGTTTTCCTCCCTTCCCGTAGCATTTTAGGTTTGCTGATACCTTAATCTAATTGTCATAAACATTTCCAACACTCCGCACAACTCGCCTAGACTACTTCCTTCACCACTTCCTACGTCGCGGACCTATTTTCCTCCCTTTCCATAGCATTTTAGGATTGCAAATACCTTAATCTAATCATCATAAACAGTTCCCACGCTCCAGACAGCTCGCCTTGACTACTTCCTTCACCACTTCTTATGTCACGGACCTGTTTCCCTCCCTTCCCATAGCATTTTAGGATTGCCCATACCCTTATCTAATCGCCATAAACAGTTCCCGCACTCCGGACTACTCGCCTTGACTACTTCCTTCACCACTTCCTACGTCGCGGACCTGTTTTCCTCCCATCCCATAGCATTTTAGGATTGCAGATACCCTAATCTTATCGTCATAAACAGTCCCCACACTCCGGACTGCTCGCATTTACTACTTCCTTCATCACTTCCTACGTCACGGACCTGTTTCCCTCTATTCCCATAGCATTTTATGATTGCCTATTAGTATAGGCAATGCTACTTCCTTCACTACTTCCTACGTCACGGACCTGTTTCCTTCCCTTCCCATAGCATTTTAGGATTGCAGATACCTTAATGTATTCGTCATAAACAGATCCTAGACTTCGCACTGCTACCCTTGACTACAATGTATCGAGTAATCTTAAGTATAATCTTTGCTCAATATTAACAAGTGATGTTTTTCCTTTTGTACTGTATTTGTAATTTCCTAGTATACTGTGGGTAGTTGGCTTATTATGAGCACATGCTAAAACTTCAAATCTTTTGTTTACTTTTTACTTGTTATTTAATTCAGCCAACATGGTTACCTAGCAACCCATAAGACTAATGTTAAAAAAATGTGATTTTCAGTTAATTTTTCTACGGATTCCTGAGAGACTTTTTTAACGCTATATAGATGTTGGCACTCACCGATATGGTCTTTATCACCATGCAAAATTTGAAAACGATTGATTCAGCCGTCTAGGAGGAGTTTGCGTATTACGAAATGCATAAAAGTCGACGTATAAGAGCTTCGCTCGCTTCGCTCGCTCCGCTCAATTATTTTATGAGTTTTCGGTTTGTTTTAGTTCATTGTTGTACCTATTGTACTCCATTGTTATCTGTTATTACATATTCAGTATTTTCTGCAAAATAACATGTCAAGGCAAGATTATTTGTGTGTGTATGTTATATTATAATTTGCGTGTAAAGTTTGTGAGTCATGGAAATCAATGGTAAATGGTCATGGATAGTCATGGAAAGTCATGGAAATTAATGACAAATCTTTTGTGGACACCCTGAGCATTCTTCTTGGCATGACTAAGTTAGCCTACCAATCTAGACTAACTGAGCGTCAGTAACTTAGGCTAAGTTAAGTTATCTTGGCGTTCACAATCCAAACCAGGGGTCTCCAACCTATGGCCCACGGGCCTGTAATTAATTTTACAGTAAGTAATTGGTGATAACCAGTGCTAAGCTTAGTCAAAGTTGTGACAACACTCGTGAGTAAGTTAAATGTCTCAGTCCGCGGAAACTCGGTGATACCATGATAACTTAACTTAGTCATTCAAGGTCGCTGCAACACCGGTGAATAAATGTTAAGTTATGTAAGTAACTTAAATGCTGTCTCGGTAATAATGTGATCGTCATTCGCAACCACAGCAACACTCGCAAGCACATTTTGTGGTCTCGGCCATACGGTACAGCGATCATCACTCACGGGTCGTGGCAATAAGTTAACCGTAATCAATTGTTGTGGTCTTGGCGATAACGTGATCGTTTTTGCGATCACGGCAACTCGGAAATACCGTGGTCGTCACTCACGCTCGTGACCATATTTTTCTTTCTCAGCGATTCCGCAATCGCGACTGCACTGTTG